GGAGCACGACTGCCTGATTTTTCTTCTTTCACCTTATTCAACTGGAGGAAATGATTGGCTGCAATACCTAGATATGTTACCCAAAAAGTGAATCTGGACTTGCATCAGAATAGTGAGTCATTTCATGCCCTCTGTTAAAGGTAGCTGGAAGGGTCACTCTGGTAATAGACTGCTGCCTTATTCTGGAGGTGAGCTTTTTTTAAAGACGTGTAAGTGTTTGAGGTGTGCTGGGATAGGCTCAGTGGGGACCTGAAGTACAGCTGAATATATCCAAAGCCCCTCAGTTCTGCTGAGATGCCTGTCATCTGCCCCAGGGATCTGCTGCCTCTCTGCATCTGTTTCGTAGTAGATGTCACCTGAGAGCGGCCTTCCGGACCCTCATCTAAAGTAGCAGCCTCTTCTCTCTTGTTTGCTTTTGCCTCAAAGCACTGGTCACTGTTTGACAGCAGGGCCTGGTACCCAGTCATCTGTAAATATTTGTTGAGTAAAAGAATCTGAAGAGAATGAACAACCTGAGAATATAAGCTCAGGTCATCTGGTCCCCCCATCCCCAGCCTCAGCCCTTCCCTTTTAAGTTGCCCATCTTCAAGGGCTGGGGGAGAAAGGCTAAGGCAAATTGGGAGCAGGTAGATTTCCACATTTTGCTCTGGGATTTTTTTTTTTTTTTTTTTTTTTTTTTAGACAGAGTCTCGCACTTTCGCCCGGGCTGGAGTGCAGTGGCGTGATCTCAGTTCACTGCAATCTCCGTCTCCTGGGTTCAAGCGATTCTCCTGCCTCAGCCTCCTGAGTAACTGGGACTACAGGTGTGCATCACCTTGCCGGCCAGTTTTTTTATTTTTAGCAGAGACGGGGTTTCACCATGTTGTCTAGGCTGGTCTTGAACTCCTGACCACAAGTGATCCACCTGCCTCAGCCTCCCAAAGTGCTGGGATTACAGATGTGAGCCACCACGCCTGTCTGCTCTGGGATTGATTCTCAAACTTTCTGTCCCATTTCAGGGCAGTTTAGTAATGGAAGGGAGAAGTTCTGAGAGATGCATAATAAAAATGACCCAAGCCTGGCTGCAAGTCAGCCTGCCTGGCTGGCGCTCAACTCAGTGTTGTCCCAGGCTGCTTTTCCCCCTCCCTGCCTCCCTCCCTTCTAAATCTTGGCACCCACACTTCCATTTTAGTTCTTTTCCTCATCTTCTGTTTTATGTTTTTGGTCACAGAGGATGCAGATTTAAATCAAAAGTCAGGAGTTTAGATCATTTTGAAGAGCTGCTGATGAGTGGTCTTGCCTTGCCATTTGTTTTATTAGACTGCGTCCTGCCCTTTCCTGCGTGGTCTAAAAGCTCCGTGCAGCTGGGAAGAGTGATGGGGCTGCCAGGGTGCTGCCCAGAGGCCCAGGGCTTCCTGATGACATTGCATTATGGAAAAGCTGTAATAACATTCCGCTGTTTAGCCTCCTCTTTAATCACACAGGGGACACTGGAGGGATGGGATGGGGGTGGGGGGTGGATATCTCCTGGGTTGCCCTGAGTCCCTGCTCCACAGAGATGGAAAGGATCCATGTTTGCTCTTCCACATCTCCTATCTGGAGGACCAAGTTAGAGTTCCCATGGGACAGAAGAGGAAACTGAGGTAGGGGAGATGCTTGGGAAATCTTCCAGCACTTGGAGCACACTAACCGTATGAGGACATGGGCAGAGGAAGGATCTAGATCAGAACCTGCAGCCCTGGCACTGCCAGGCCCCTGCCATCCCCTTACGTTCTCCACTTGCTCTGTATGTCTCTGTTGCTCTCTCCTTAGGTCAGGTATCAACTTGACTTGAGGTTTATGGAGAAAGAGGTTCTCATCAAACCTATTTCCTCTTTTTTTTTTTTTTTTTTTTGAGACGGAGTCTCGCTGTGTCGCCCAGGCTGGAGTGCAGTGGCGCGATCTCGGCTCACTGCAAGCTCCGCCTCCCGGGTTCACGCCATTCTCCCGCCTCAGCCTCCGAGTAGCTGGGACTACAGGCGCCCGCCACCTCGCCCGGCTAGTTTTTTGTATTTTTAGTAGAGACGGGGTTTCACCATGTTAGCCAGGATGGTCTCGATCTCCTGACCTCGTGATCCACCCGCCTCGGCCTCCCAAAGTGCTGGGATTACAGGCTTGAGCCACCGCGCCCGGCCCTATTTCCTCTTTTTAGCCACACAGTTAATTATACGACACATCAGACCCCCTGGCATCTGGGTAGGGCCACATGGCTAGTTCTTGCCCATGGGATGGGAATGTGCCTTCTCCCTGCTGTCTGACTTTTACCCATCAAAGCAGCCTTGTAGACTGTGTTTGAAGAGGATGGTGTCACATGATGGAAAGAGCCTGGGTTCCTGAATGACTGTGTGGAGCAGGGGGTTCTCCGCTGACTTTATTGGATTGTAATGTTTTGCTACTGATACTTGGGAATTGTTTGTTATAGCAGTTAGCCTAACTCCAACTAATACCTGTGTATTACTAATTCAGTTATTCGATTAGTAATTACTAATACCTGTGTACCTCGATTCAAAAAAGAAGAGGGCTCTTCCCTTACCCAGTTGGGTAAGGGAAGCCAGCCAACAGGCTCTTACAGTCTTCCAGACAAGAGGGAGCCATAGAGGTAGAAGTTTCGGAGGTCCTTTTTAGTTTTCATGTTCTGGGGTTTCTCCATTTCCATCTTAATCTCTCAGTGCCCAAGTATATCAACCCCTGTGGCCACCCCAAACCGTTACTTGCCATTCCCTGGCAGAATGCTCGATTCTCCTTTCTCATGCTTGTTGATCCTTTTCCTGGAACACCTGCCCCTCTTCATCACCTTTCAGACTTGACTCCCTTTCAAGTTGCAGCTCAAACACCACCTCCGCAATCACCCCATGAGGCAGTGAGCCCTCGCTGCCGCTCCTCTCCGGGTAGCACTGCATAGCTGAGCAGATGGTCCTCATCCCCTCTTGAAGCACCCGTGATATTTTCATAAGGAGGTCTGACTCCTCTGTTAACTTATGAGATTCTTAGCAATAACGACATGATCCTCACACTTCCTTGTTTCCTATGTAGGCCTTAACACTGTGTTGTTTGTACTGGGCACTCAAGAAGGAAGAGAGGGAGTCAGGGAGGGAGGGAGGGAGTCAGGGAGGGAGGGAGGGAGGATTGATTAATGAAATCACAAACAAATGAATGAGCTACTTAGTCAGATTTTCAAGGGCTTAGCACTGTGTTATATGTACCAGACACTCAGTAAATACTTGGTGAGAAGGAAGGAGGGAGGGAGGGAGGGAAGGAAGGAAGGAAAGAAGGAAAGAAGGACAGAGTAATGACATCACAAACAAACGATCTACTTGACTAGATTTTCAAGTGTTTCTACCATCTGGGCTCATTCCATTTCTCTTCTACTACTTCCAACCACAAAAGCCCCATTCCAAATGGGTTGTTCTGTCCACAGACTCATGGGCATGCTGGACTCTTCCTTTCCCCCACTCTCCACCCGCCGTCCCCTCACCCATCCCCCAGCCCTTCTCCACTCCTCTCACCCTTCAGGGTTCAGATGGAGCTCCACCTCCTTCAACATGGTTAGTGATGCCCCTGCTCTGAGCGAACATCTTCAACTGTAAATGATAGGGTTGATCGTCTGCCCCACACAGGTGATTCTCTCTCTCACTGGGTCCTGTCTTGCATGGTTTGTGTCAGTTCATGTGTGTTATTCTTGCCTCCCTAACTAGAATACAGGCTCCTCAAGAGCTGCATCTTCCCCAGCGTGAGCCAGGAGATGAGCAAGGAATAGCTGCTCAGTGTACTCTTGCTGACTGCCAGATTATTTAGAGCTTCCTCACTCTTTTTGCCGTTTCAAGTAAACACAGATTGGAGACCAAAAACATACACACCCCATCATCTCTTCTTTCCATGCCTTTCTCTTCTCCTGCTTCGCAGATTGGAGCAACTGGGTGGGCTCATTCAGTCTCTAAATTCATTGAATTTCTGAATCTGCAGAGTCACATGCAAATTTTCAGATCACAGCAACCCCTCGGAGTCTGTTAGTCCAGTAAGAATGCACTAAAACCAGTAGACAACTTTGTTCTCCCCACTTTTTTTTTAAACAACAAATTACTTTTTTTAGGGACGTATTTAGGAGGAGATGGGAACATGGGCTGGGCCTCAAATGATTTGAAGGAGGAAGAAGACCTCATATATGAGGAATGCCATGGGGTAAAGGAATAGCTGAGAGAGGGGGCATCACCTGGGCAGGAATTGGGGCCCCGGCCACAGGGAATAGTTGTGACACAGCTAATGACCTGGGTGGGCCAGCCCCCAAAGACTTGGGTTCCAGCTGATCATCTCTGTGCCATCCTCAGGCAAGTCCCCTCACACCCAGAGCTGAGAACAGGTGGAGAAATGAGAAACGAAGCAGGGGGCTTTGGACTTGGTTGATGTGGTTCCGGATTCTCAAGCAAGGAATTGGCCTGGAAAAGGCAGTATTTAGGGCTCTGTTTTGTCATTAGCAAATATTTAGTTTTAGGCTGACTCCCTTTTGTTACCCAACATGCTCTGACTCAACTCTCCCACCTTGGGCACACAGCATGCAAATAAATCACATCATTGCCTTGGCCAAACATAATTTGGGAAGTTAACCTGCTTAGAAACCCGTAGAGTATGTCCTAAAATTAAACAAAAGTTTTTTTTTTTTTTTAATTATCCAGTCCATTCTTTCTTTTTATTAGTGTGGATTTTGGAGTGTGAGTAGTAATTATCCATGAGAATAAAAAATTACTTAATTGTGCATTGTATGAGATTCAAATAAAAGGACCAGTTACTTCTCAGGTCTGGTGCCTGCCTTGCAGATACATGCAAATATTTTATTAGCCACCATTTCCACCCGAGTTCCCTGAAGGATTGTAGGAAATCAGTGAACTGTTCTTGTGGTATACGCTAGTCGCTCATAAATTGGAACTATCATACAGTGTGATCAGAATAAACAAATGGAAAGGGTAATAAGGCACACCAATAATCACTGGTGACCTCAGCAATTTTATTAACAAATGTATTTCCCTAATTGGGTAACATATCTCAGTGCTTGACTCAAGGGCATTGTAATAGGTTTCCGTACTGCAGAAGAAGGAATTAATTAGAACTGTTTGTTCTTATTCCATATTTACACTTGTCCACCAGTCTTGTAAACATTGCCCCTGGTTTCCTCAGTCCTCCAGGTTCTTCTGACTCCCCAACACACCCCCAAAATAAATAAATAGAAAGCAGAGAGTAGAGCTGGGCATCAGTGGTCCCTTCTTATGTGCGTTCACCCCCACTGCAAGCCGCGTCTCATGGTCAGAATGTGGCAGAATGGGGAACTCCAAAGTCTGCTAAGAGATTCCTCATTTTAAGAGATTTTGGGGGGAAAAAAAAAGGAAAAAAAGTCTGTAAAGGGACCCTCCTTTCCACAGGCAAAAATGGAGAATCTGGGGCCTTGCTTTGCCAGAGCTCATGCCTGGGCTTGGCTCTGTCCACTTGGAAGCTGGGTGCAGAGCAGGTAAGATGGGCAGATCTGTTCTGCTTCATCCTGTCTCACCTAAAACTCTGCTTAGGAAGGTAAGAGGCATTCATGAGCTCTGCCTGCCCTTGGAGCAGGCAGCCCGTACAAAGAGAAAAACCATGAACTCATGAACTCACTCTTCAAGGCTGCTTCAAGTCAAGTTTTCTGCCTCACAGCTGGCGCGGACTGCAGCATGGCAACGAGTAAACATTTTTAGATGCAAATATTCCAGAATGTCACAGCAATGGTGGCCTCTAACTTGGGCTGCCCCCTCCAGTGTACTCCAGAAGGTGCCACTTTTTCCTGGCTATCCGTTCTCCAATGAGCAGCATTAGAGCATGATGCCAGGGGATGTGGAATCACCTCCAGAGCTGATTTGTTCAGCAGCTGTTAACATAGTCTGCCGTATATAGAGATGGTTTTTGACGGTAGATAGGACTATTATGAAGATATCTAAGGGGTGTCTGGACTACCCTAGCAACCAACAGGTCCCTTTTTGAGATCTATAGCCCAGAAAGATCCAGAGAAGCCCAGGAAGTTTCATTCTCCCTCTTGGATATCCTGCAGGATCCTAATGAGGTTTTCCAGGCCAAAAATATAGCCAGGGTCTGGTCCATCGTAGGTGGTGTGCTCATTCCAGGAGCCCTTGTACGTGGTATGAGCAAAGTCAATCATGCGGACGTCAACCTTGGTGAGACCACTGGGAGAGCTGCCATGGGCTGCCTGGGGAGCCTCCTGAGGATGTGGGCTGCCTGGGGCTCTTTCTGGCGGTTCCTGCCCATCATAGATGATGAGGAGAGAGCTGGAGTAGAAGCGGTATGAACTCTGGCTCCTAATGACGGAGAGGAGGGCCCGGAGCTGCTGCAGGATGGGCTCCAGGAGCTCCCTCCGCAGGTGGCTTCCATTATGTAGGAACTGATAGAGGGCTTGTCTGAACCCCTCCACTGAGAGTTTTCTTCCGTAGTACTTGTCTTTGCAGAGAAAGTACTTCTTGTCTGTTTGATAAACCTTATATTAAAAAGAAGAAAGAAAATGTGAAGATTGGAAATTTAAACAAATCGCATCTGGTATGGTTGCAGCATCACAAGCTAGGATAACATATGAACAGATTTTTAGGAGATGTAGGGCAAGAGTGACTGAAATGAGCAGAAGATGATCTTCCGTCAAGTGCCAGGGTAGCTTTTACATTTTAAAATGCTTTCTGTGCAAGTCTTTAGTAGTAATCCAAGGTCTAAAGATCCTTCACCCTACAGAGGTGACCCTCCACCCACGAGGAAAACGTTTGGATCTTCTTTCTTGTGAATTTCCAATGTCAACCTCCAAATCGTGATTTAAGCCTTGGCTTCTGGCCCTCTTCAATTCAAATATTAGCAAACCCAAGCTAGAAAGCTTTAATAGGAATCTGAAATCACAGCCAATGGCCTTGGAAAGCCAACTAGATTAAAATTTCCCCAACAAAGTTTATAAAGTCCTTTCTCCGCAGATTCCAAGGCAACAATAATGCCTCTTGAGGTAGAGTGGGGTGAATTGTTTGAAGATAAAAAGATAGGCAGGTCAGGTGTGGACAGAGTTTCCAGGCAGCCAGTGCAGTTGAGGGGAGCCTGGTAGAGGAGGGAGGTTCATGGTAGCTCTATGGGGCTGGTGGCTCCTCTCCTTGGCACCATCTCTCCTCCCCTCCCCTATTGTGTCTTGGCCACCAGAAGGGAGCAGATGGAAGAGAGATGCTGATGGGGGACAGTGGCAGCCACCCCCGTTTCATTCAGATGGCACAGGCAGCAGCCGAGGTTGAACCAAGGCCAGCAGTGGGCATGGTCGGGGGGGGTGGCACCCCTCTGCCTGGCACACCTAGAAGGGGCAGCCTGTGCCTGGCCAAGACAGTTTCTCACGTCATTCCTGCCCTCAGATTACATGATATGTTTATAGAAAACCAGTGTTGTTGAAAAAAATCAGAAAGATATGATAGACTTGGTGTTGCCTTTGGAGGGCTGCAGATTGGCTGCTAAATTAGCCGTCATAAATACATGACAGGCATCACTTTCTAAATAAATCAGATCAATTTCAGAAGATTTGAGGTCCAGAGAGAGATTCCATTTACACCACAAATCATCACACTCCATTCTCTTGAGGACTGCATTCCCGGCTTTCCAAAGGACATCTGTGCAACAAATTTATAGACTCAACTTCCAGCTTCAAGGGGTGGCAGTTTCAATTAAGGAAAGCTATAACGTTTACCGTCAAATCGGTGTCTGGTTTTGCTTTGAGTAGACAGACTATAAGAGGGAACGAGTAGAGGAAGTTTATTTTCTCCTGTTCTCCCGCAGGCCCTGCCATAAGCCACATCAGAGCCCAAAAAAGGAGGCGTGGAGTCTGAGTTACAGAAAATAACCATTCCTTTGCAGGGTTAGCAGGTTATGACCTTCCCACTTTATTAACCAGAACTGGTAACAAAAAGCAGCAGAAAAGGTGGATTAAGAAGGGGAAATAGAAATTCAAAGAGCTGACTGCCATACAGCATCTAAGAAGGAGAGAATTCAGCTTTATCATTCAAGAGAAGGAGGACTCAGGAAGCCACGGGTTGCACCAAGAAGCCCTTTCTCTTAGTTCTTCCCCCAGCCCAGCCTCACACACTGCCATCAAAGGTCCGCTTGCACCATGAGCAGGAGCCACATGGCCACTGTGGAAAGTTTCTGCTGCCAAAGATTGTGAGACCAAGTTCAAATGTGATGGTTTTTGACATCACTATTCTGACGGGTACTCTTGAAAAGATCCAGTGTGGGCTGAAGTGGTGGCTCATGCCTGTAATCCCAGCACTTTGGGAGGCAGAGGCGGGCGGATCACAAGGTCAGGAGATTGAGACCATCCTGGCTAACATGGTGAAACCCCGTCTCTACTAAAATTACAAAAAATTAGCCGGGCGTGGTGGCGGGCACCTGTAGTCCCAGCTACTCGGGAGGCTGAGGCAGGAGAATGGCGTGAACCCGGGAGGCGTAGGTTGCAGTGAGCCGGATCACACCACTGCACTCCAGCCTGGGTGACAGAGCAAGACTGTCTCAAAAAAAAAAAAGAAAAAAGAAAAAAAGAAAGAAAAAGAAATGACCAAATGTGTCATAGACCAGGGTATGCATTTCCTCATTGGAAGACTGGCTCCTGGCCTCCTCTGTGGCTCCTCCAAAGTGAAGGGCTCTGCAGGGGGCAGTGGCATCTGGATAGGAGACATCCCTACCCCACCGTGGTTGTGCCGGGATGTTCCCCCGCAGCGGCGGGCCCCATGCAACCTACCTGCATGCCGCAGATGCGCACACCCAGGCAGGCTGAGGTGCTCTGCGCACACTTCCTCATGTGGCGGGCCTTCTTCTCCTCGGATGCGTCATCGCCATGCTGCCGGGTCCCCATCTTCAGATCCAGGACGCAGGGATGCGTGTACTGTGACACTACATTTTCCAGCAACAAGAACCCTAGTCACACCACGTTAAGGAAGGCTCTGAGGACTTCAGAGCGACTGTTCCGCCACAGGCCGTTTGCATGCCTCGGGAGCTGCCTGGAAATTCCCTATTCCGGGCACCATTCTTCACTCCCATTGCCTTCCTTACAGACAAGCTCATCCTGGCTATTAAGAATTCAAAGTATTAGCTTTGCAGGCTGCTTTAATAAGTCCATTTATTTAGGGGGAATTTATGAGTATGTGAGCTTTTTTTCCTTTTCCTTTTTGCTCTGAGGTTGAAATTTAAATGCAAGCGTAAAATCCCTGGCAGGCCATGCCCAATTTACATTTTACGGCAGAAAATCATAAGGCTAAAACCTCCAGTCCTGCTGAATGGACCAATACCTTTTGGGAAAAGTGGGTTGATGTTAGCTTTGGAGATGAGTTGCAGGAATATTAATTTCAGTGGAGTAATTATCCTGCAAAAGCTTCTTAGGGATTATGATTGCAGATGTGTCTTGGTAAATACTATGAAACCAGCCACCCATTTGCAGGAAGGAGCACAGCAGTGGTGACGAAGGGGCATTTCAATTTCGGAGAAATTGAAATTTCCTAAATTTTCTCCCTGAAAAAGTAGGGGAGGGGCTCTTACCTCATCCCATAGCCCACCCCATGGACACTCCCCTAAGGGAGGAGCCACACTTCCCTCTCACTGTGTGGGCCTCATGGGAAGACGCCTGCAGGTAGAATTTGGAGGGATGGAAGGGAGGTTGGGGCTGGGGACTCATCCAGCTCTCGGAGCCCCCTGCTGCCCCCACCCAATATGGCATTCATCATTCCTGTCTGACCACAGACACTCCCATCCTAACCTGTCTTTACTGTCAAGTGGCAAAGACACAGCCAGGGCCCCCCGAGGGCACTGCGCTCAGTGTAATTCCATCTGCCTTCTCCATACTGTCTAGTTGCTCTTTTGGAGGCAGCTGATTTCTTCTAGGACCTGGGTTTGAGGGCTTGTGCCTTCCAGCTGTCCCTCACATCTGTCTCTCCCTGCCCACCCTCCACTGGCCCCGTGTTTGTGTGTGTTTCCTCTACTCACCTCTGCCCCTCTGTGTCTGTCTATCCCCCCGCCCTTGGGACTACACGTGAGGGGGATGGCAAGGATACGATGCCGCTTGTTCTCTGGGTACTCGGAGCACAGGCGGGTCAGGTGGGCCTGGTGGCAGTGCAGGCCCCATGGGTTGAAGCTCTTCCTCTCCACCTGGTTCCCATTAGTGTCTTCCACCAGCGAGGAGGCTGGAGCGTTGAGGTGGGTCTCGGACCTCAGGAGAGCCTTGGCCGGGCTGCGGCGGAGGGGAGCACAGGACAGTCAGAGCAGAGGTCTGAGAGCGCTGCTGCCTGTGGCTGACTGGGCTCTTTGAGATGGGCTCTGACAGGGTGGTCCCAGCTACTCTCCAGGGTGGCCCTCATCAGGCTGGGGCACCCTCCCTGCCCAACTCAGGTCCTGGGGCCAGATTTCACCACACTGCAGCCCTCAAGTGGCTTCTCCAAACCCTGGAGAACTTACTAGGACATGTTGCCCCCTCAGAGGACTGAGGTGATTTGAACTCACTTGCAAGTGACCTGGATTATTAATGGTCTTACTATTGAGGCGACACACTAAGGGGGCAGTGGCCCTAACCGGAATCACAAGCCTGGGGTTGCACTCTGATAATCCAGCAGGCAGGCCGTCACCTCCCTGAGACCTCAGAAGGGCACGGGAGTGGGGTGGGGGCTGCGGGGAGTGCGGACAGTGGCAGGTCCTTTCCTCCTGCCCTCTGGGCATCTTGGCGTGGCCATCTGTGAAATGGAGATAATGCACCTGCTTCCTGACTCCAAGCCCAGAGGCTTAATGAGATCTGCGGCACTCCTTGGGAAGGGAGGCATTTTCATTGTATTAGCTCCCTTTTGTTTCCCATAAATGTTTTAAAAAGCCCCAGGGAGCCTTTTCACCTGAGAAAGGTCAGCTGACATTGTCAAAGCTTTTGGTGGGGACCTCAGGCACCTGAGCCTCCTGCATCTCCAGGGACCCTCTGAGCAGGACATTGACCTCCCTTCTGGCCCCTTCCAACTGCTAGGGAAAGAGATGATTTCTGAGAGCAATTAGCCACACTTTTCCTCTACATACACTATTCTAGGGTTTCTGTTCTGTACATTTCCTCCCCAGAGACACTTCGTGGTCTCAGTGAAACAGGTATTTAATTAAACAAATATGTACCGGATACCTACTCAGTAGAGAACTCTGCCTGTGCTTCAACTTCTGAGATAAAATGCATCACAATCCTCCCTTCTAGGAGTGGCATAAAGAAAATCCATTCCTTTCTTTGGTCACATTGGTTATTCTAGACAGAGCATTCATCTGAATTTCTCATTTTCTCAGCACCAGCCCTAATGGGGAGTGGTTGGCCTTGGGCACAGGTGGGAGCAGTGCCGGTCCCTGCCAAGGGACAGGGTTTCTGTCATCCTGCCCAGTGGCCTCACCTCTCCTTGGGTGAGCGTGCCAGCTGGGCATGCGGCCACTGGGCAAGGGCGCAGGCGCTGCCACTGCTGCCGGTGGTCTGCTGGAGCGTCTGCCAGATGGCCATTGCCGCCGACTCTGTGGAGACCTTGAAGGGCTCCCGGCTCTCCTTCACTGGGTTGGCAACCAAGCTGAGATGGCCTGTGCTGTCTTTCCAGAGGTGCACTGTGATGGTGCCTGCAAACACACAGGGAAGGGGAGGGGAGGAGCCAGGTGAGAGGGCCACCATGCAGATATGCAGGAGCGATGACAGGTTGGGAATTTAGCTTAATGGTCCAGGTCCACCTCCCCCGTTCCCCAGCTCCTCTCTCAAGGAAGAGCTCTGGGACTGGCCTGGTTTTGCCTGGTTTCGCTGTCCCAGAATGAGCCCCAGAGCTTGGAGAAAGTAGCCTTGGGCTGATCTTGACACATCCTCTGCTTTATCGCACTTCCCTGCCCCTTTGCGCTTTAAACGAAGTCAACTCTGCACATTTTGTCCTCGTATTCCAGTTCCTCTGTGCACAGTCGTACCTCCCAGTCATGCCACAGCCAAGCCAGCTCTGCCTGACCTGGGGGCATTGGAGCTGGTCCTCTGCGAAGGGGCCTCCCACCTCAGAGTGCCAGTGAGGGAAGTTGGGCCCATCCTATCCCTCCTCTGTGCCCTCTGCCTCCTGATGACCCTTCCTCTCCCTCCCATGTATCTTTATCGGACCTGCTTCTTCCAGGAAGCCTTCCTCTCACAGCCTTCCAGGGCTCGGGGCTCCCTGTCGCCCCTTCACTCGCCCTCCCCCCGTCTGTCTGCCCTTGAGCTGATGGCCGGCCATTTCCTCTGGTTAGACGTATCTGCACATGAAGATTATTGGTGGAACATGGTTCTTTGATGAAACAAGCCTTTTGAGGTTTCCCCAACTGTGTTACATCCTACCATCGGTGTTGGTCATTGAGGCACAAAAAAACACTGGTTGTGAAAGTGAAGAGTGTGTGAAATACCTTTACCCTACACACTAAGGGGCATCCTCCTGGGCATTGGCCAGGCTTGGGTAATTAGCTGTGGCAGGCACATTAGCAGCTCTGCGGCCACCCTTTAGTGTCCTCCCTCTGGTGGTGACAGAGCCCAGGCCTTCCTCCGTGGAGTTTGGCTTCCGGTGGTGCCTGGCCTCGCCAGAGTCTTGGTGGTAGCCAAGGAGATGGCCACCCTTGTGGTTTTGGGAGAAGCAGAGGTGAGAATACGTGTCCTCTCTCCTGCAGCTGATGCGCTCATCCTCTCTGCGCCTGCCGTCACCAGCACACTCTGCACCCCTCTGTCCTGCTATATGCTGAAGGAGTGACCTGATGGAGTATACCAGTGGCTCCCTTGCCCTCCAGTTTCCCAGTGGATTTGCCAGTGGGGGGCACTGGCAGGAGATGGGAGGGTGGGAGGAGAAAGGTTGGGCCTTTATTCCACTGGTTCCCACCCCTCTTCACTGTGTTCATACCCTGCTGTGTTCCTCTGTGGCCCTCCTGGCCTGGGGTGGTGACAGCTTTCCAGTGTTGATGGTCTCTGGGTCCCCCCAGTCCCTGGTTGTTCCCCTGAATCCTGCATATATTTCTGCAAACAGTTCCTTTTTTTTTTTTTTTTTTTGAGACGGAGTCTTGCTCTATCACCCATGCTAGAGTGCGGTGGCGCGATCTCGGCTCACTGCAACCTCCGTCTCCTGGGTTCACACCATTCTCCTGCCTCAGCCTCCCGAGTTGCTGGGATTACAAGGCACCAGCCACCACGCCTGGCTAATTTTTGTATTTTTAGTGGAGATGGGGTTTCCCCATCTTGGCTAGGCTGGCCTCGAACTCCTGACTTTGTGATCCTCGAACTCCTGACTTTGTGATCTACCCGCCCTGGCCTCCCGAAGTGCTGGGATTACAGATGTGAGCTACTGCACCCTGCCAAACGGTTCCTTTTTAAGATTTTCTTCATTTAACCTCGTTTGAGTGTGCCTTTTGTTTTCTGCCAGGCCCTGACCAAGAGAGGGTAGGCTGCATGTTTGTATGTCCTCCAAGGTATTTATTTCTCCCCCTAGCCACGTGGTCACCTTCTCAGAGTAAGTGGCAATTTCTGCTGAGCCAGCCGTGAAGGCAGCTGATCTCCCAGCTTGCATCGCTGCCGGGCCCTCCTGGGCTGGTCAGCGTGGACACTCATTTTCAGGGCTGCTCTATAATTCAGCAAGTCACTCTCGAGAGCTGCCTGTGCCTAGCTCAGCGGTCTCCCTGGGCCAGTCCTGTCATCTCAGATTCCCAGTGCCCTGATTTTGCAGCCCGAGAGTGACATTCAGTCCTCTCCATCTCCTAAAAGGTGCTGCCTTTCCTCGCCCCATCCCAGGCTCCCGTGTCCTGTGAAGTTGTCATGATGATAACCATAACGCTGTCCCTGAACCTGGCATTTTACCATTCACCTGCCATTAGCGTTCACCCCTAGGCCAAGCCCACTGTCGCTGTCCTGCTTATGAGACAGGGGCTGATGGCAGGTTGAGGAAGGAATCACAGATCATCACAGCCATCCTGTCTTCCACCTGCTGGGTGGCATGTTACTGCTTTTCCCTTGCTACTGCTAAGTCACAGTACGCCTGGAAGAGTGTTGACGGTGGGCGCTGAGGCTCAGAGAGATGGGATAACCTGCCCAAGGGCACACAGCCGGTGTGGGATGGAGCTCTGGGAGGGCCATGCCAGACGTGGGGATGGAGGAAGGGACAGGCTGTTCCGGAGGGTCTGGTGTTGTCACGCTATGTTTACCCTGAGTTTGCATTAGGGACACTCCTGCTGTGTCCCCCGTCATGTTTGTTCTGGTCATTCTGTTCCATAGGAGAGAACAGAGAGGCTGTGATTCCTCCCTGAGGGGAGGGTCATCAGCACTGAGAGCTGGGAGCCCAGGCCAAACCAATGCCTGTCCCGAGCCCATCCTTCCAGGTGTGAGAAGAGGGGAGAGCTGCCAGCCTCGTGCAGGTCCTGGGGAGCCCCGAGGCCTCCCAGCTGCCTGGGGAGCCTGGTGTGCCAGTCCTGTGCAGAGCCCTTTTGGGTCTTGGAAAATTCACGCTGCCCTCCAGCACTCCCCTGGCCTTGCTACATGTGAGGCTACGGTGACAGGTCTGCCAGAAACCATAGTCTTGGGAGCCCCAGGCCCAGGAGGCCTTCCTGGAGGGACAGGAAGCGTGACCTTCACCCGCTTCTCCAGGCTCCAGCCCTTGTCTGATCTCATCAGTTCTGAGTGTCTGAGTAAATGGAGGAGAGCAGAGGTGCACATAACCCAAAACCAATAAAATCCAAAAGTCATTTCCATTTCTCATATTGTCAGAGTTACACAGCCAGGCTCTGCATCTCTGCCTCTCTGTCTTTCTGCCAGCCTCCGACGGGCTGTGTCTGTCTCCAGCTCTTGTCTGTCTTTCCCTCTCACCCCCCTCTGTGGCTCAGCACAGCCCTTCCCTCTGAAGTCGGGGACCCCAAGCAGATAACCCCCTTACAAACAGTCTCCAGTTGCCTGCCCTGGGCAGGAGGGCCTGCCCAGCCCTCCCCATGCATCTCGACCCGAGACCATGCCAGCTGGACAGATGAGAGAGCTTACTGCCACAACTGGCATGCCCAGAGCATCTCAGCAATTTTGGTTTGGCCTAGTAGCTTCCTGAGCCTCTGTGAATATTCTATCATGTATTTATTTTTAAGTTTATGAGAGCATTTACTTGCTGCCGTCTGTAATATGAATCGGGTCAACCGGGTCAACTGTTAACCAACTGGACCTACGAGTACATCCTCATTGCCCAGTGCTGACCGGCAGCCTGGGAGGAGAGGGGTGCAGCCCCAGGGCACTGTCATGCCTGCAGAGCCCAGCAGAGGTCCCGGGCGAGCTCTGACCCAAGAGACTGCCCTCTGGAGTGGCGTCCCTGCCCATCGTCCTCCCTGATGCCATCATGGTGCAGGGCGGTGAGAAGAGAGAACACGCACTCTGTGGCATGTGGTGGCCACTTCAGAAATGGCCCCTCTCAGTGAGGGCTGTTCCTATAGCGGAGAAAAGGGAGACCCTTGTGGCAGCCTTATGGGGATTCAGATGCCCCTGACCTGAGGCCCTCACTGAATGACCCTGGGCAAGTCACTCCCCCTCCTTCCTTGGGCTAGATGACCCCTGAGCACTGATACCCGAGTTCACCCCTTTAGTAACAGTGTAGCTGAGTGGAGCAGGCCCATGTGGCCAAGAGCCCACAGTTAGGAGCCAGACCTCAGGGCAGAGGAGGGGGTGAGGACGACCTCCTGAAGGCCAGGCCAACCTCTCTACCTCTTCCACTTAGCCTGCGGCTGCTCGGCATCCATCTCAGCCCCAGAGCTGTGTGGAGCAAGCGTGAAATGGTGCTGGCAGGAGGCCGCCCCACACACGATCCTGCCACCCCTCTGCTGGGCTAAGTTTAGTTCTGAAGGAACAGACATTAATTCCAGTGGGTGCTCTGACAAGATGGGAAGTGACCCCACAACCAGCCAGGCAACACCAGCCTGCAGGCTGGGAAGACCCCAGGGAGAGGGAGGCCCACACAGGCGGCCCACGGACCATCTTCCCCTGTCTCTCCGTGTGTGACGCTGATCGGTCTTGTCTTAGACTCTCAGGAGTGGCAGGCCGGCTGAAGTCCAGGCATGTGTGAAACAGTGCTTGGAAGCAATGCTCAAGGCTCCAGGCCCTGGTCTCCCTACCGGCATTAGGTCTGGACCATGCTAAATAGGAATTCCCGGCTGGGCGCAGTGGCTCACACCTGTAATCCCAACACTTTGGAAGGCTGAGGTGGGTGGATCACCTGAGGTTGGGAGTTTGAGACCAGCCTGACCACCATGGAGAAACCCCGTAAATTAGCTGGGTGTGGTGGCGGGTGCCTGTAATCCCAGCTACTCCGAAGGCTGAGGCAAGAGAATTGCTTGAACCTGGGAGGCGGAGGTTGCAATGAGCCGAGATCGCGCCATTGCACTCCAGCCTGGGCAACAAGACCGAAACTATTTAAAAAAAAAAAAAAAAAAATAGAATTCCTGACCCTCACCCCAAGACCCAGGGATTCTGATTCACATGTCTGGCATGGGGCGTGGGGACCTGTGCACCTTTGTGCACATACATACTGGATTCTGGTGAAGTTGGTTTCCCAGGCCAGATTGCACTTGAGAAACACCAGGCCCCATCCTTCCCAGTTATCTTGATCATTGAAATGCAAATGTGTTTTTCATTGACTTATTTGGATATTATTGTCACCTTCCATCAACACTTTGACGAGGGCAGCAGCTTGCAGTCATGGGGTCTACAGTCCTCTAAAGAGGTTATTTCTCTGAGCAGTCACCTCACTGCTGGGGCCGGCTACCTGGCAGAGTGTGGCTGAGCCCTATAAGCCTCACTTTCAGAAGGCTGGGTGTGGACAAATCACCCTGTCCTGGGGAGCCTGACCCCTGCCTGGAGGCAGCACCCTCCCCACCCACTTTCTTTCCCCAGAACCCACCTTGTGCTCAGATCCATGCTGCCCCGTGCAGAAGTTTCCCAGCTACACACAAGCAGCAACCCGTATCCCTGGCTTTGCCTCTTCCTGGGTGAGGGCGGCAGTTCTGGCTTCCCAAGCAAGCCACATCCCAGCATCCCTAAGCCCTGTCCCAGGCCTGAGGGTCCTGCCATCCTCCTTGGCTTTCAGAGGGAGGTTAAGGAGGCCCCACTTTGCCCTGTGTTTACAGCCAGCATCAGATGGCTGGCTATGGCACCCGGAAGGCACAGACCAGAATGCCCCCTTGGAGACCGGGTGGGACCAGGGTGTTGTTTTATTTTCTCTATCCCTTGAAGCCTGGTGGCTTGAGCTAATTTATAAGGAAGCCAAACGGCATTACACTCTAGACCTGGAGGCTTGAAGAGTGCAGAGAAACTAGGACAGCGAAGGCCAGCCCCACTGGGAGAGGGGCGCGTCTCCATGGCAACCCTTATACACACCCACGGCACAGGAGGATGCAGTGGGTGCATTGGATGAGCTGGCCTCCATGTGGTGGCACCCAGACGTGGCCTGGCTGCCCAGGCACTCACCTTTGTACTGTGGGGTGAACTGCTTCATGGCCAGCGGCAGGGATTCATAGAACCTCTGCTCCCGGGAGATGAGGGGCTTGCACACTGTATGCTCATCATACTTCATCACGCTCATGTGTCCCCCAACCTGGTGCAGGAAGGGCTCCAGCTGCACGCCTGCCCTCATGTCCCCGGCGTCTGCGCTGTTTTGCACAACCATGGTGACACACGGTGGTGGTGGTGGGGTCCCTGCACAGTTTGCTAGAGGAAGGTGTGAAGTAGAACGGGCAGCTCCCAACAGCACACGGGCTGTCAGCGGTCCTCAACTTTCTCCTTCTTGGCCTTTATTGCTGTCATAGCATAGTTGTCCTCCTGTCTGTGGGTTCTCAGCGGGGCCTCTGGAAAGCAGGGGAGGAAGGTGGAAGTTAGATGAGGGAGGTGGTGGCTGGGGCAGGGCAGTGCTTAGAAGAGCCCACACAGCCTCGACCCCAGAACAGGTTCCTCAGTGGTACCTTAAACAAGACTGTGAATATCCATCAATTACTTCTGGAATAATCTGTCATGAGAAACCAGTTACAGTGGTTGCCTCCATGGAGCAGGGATGAGAAGGAGACTTTATTTATTTATTTAAGAGGAGGTCTTGCTCTGTCGCCCAGGCTGGAATGCAGTGGCATGATCTTGGCTCACTGCAGCCTTGACCTCCTGGGCTCAAGTGATCCTCCCTCCTCAGCCTCCAAGTAGCTGGGACTACAGGTGTGTGCCAGCATGCCCAACTAATTTTATACTTTTTGTAGAAATGGAGTCTCACCATGTTGCCCAGGCTGGTCTCAAACTCCTGAGCTCAAGTGATCCACCCACTTTGGCCTCCCAAGTGCTAGGATTACGGGCATGAGCCACTGGGCCCAGCCAGAGACTTTAAATAATGTTTTGTACGTTTTGAATTTAAACATTAAAACATTAAAAAAATTCAAGCAACATGCTAAGCTTCTAGGGTGCAGAGACAGTATCTTAACTTCACCTGTCATGTTGCCTGCCTTCATCTGGGAACACTCATCCCAGGCCCAACAAGAAGCAAGCTGAACCACTGCTACTGGGGCTCTCACTGTCTTGCAGGGGATTACGGGTACAGGAGTGCTTGCTTGCTTGCTTGCTTGCTTGATTTATTTATTTAGAGACAGAATCTCATTCTGTCACCCAGGCTGGAGTGCAGTGGTGTGATCTCAGCTCACTGCAACTTTTGCCTCCCGGGTTCAAGCGATTCTCCTGCCTCAGCCTCCCGAGCAGCTGGGATTACAGGCGCCCACCACCACATCCGGCTAATTTTTGTATTTTTTAGTAGAGACAGGGTTTCACCATGTTGGCCAGGCTAGTCTCGAACTCCTGACCTCAGGTGATCCGCCCTCCTCGGCCTGCCAAAGTGCTGGGATCACAGGCGTGAGCCATCGCACCTGGCCAGGAGTGCTTTATTTTTGTACAGCATGGGTGTGCATCATTGATTTACATCATGGCACCGTGACATAATTGCTGTGGGACCTCGGACAAGTTACTGAACCTTTCTGGGCCTCAGTTTCTCCTTCTCCCTCTGTAGAACAGGATAATAATGATACCCACCTCATGGAGTTAGGGACATAGTTGAGATAAGGCCCGTGGAAAGGACAGCCCAGTACCCAGAGCAAAGCATTCAATAAATGTGATCATTATTTCTAGCATTATTGCCATGCTGGTCCTATTTTCCTCACAGCTCTGGGTTGTAGGACAGGCAGGCCACTTTGCAAATGAGGACAGTGAGGCCTACAGTACCATGCGCAGGGTTGCGGCTGGCCAGGAGAGTGGGAAGTAAAGCCGGGGCCTGCTCTTCTCTAGGCCTGGCCCCCTCCTCCCCCTCCCCCTCCTCTTACCCTCCCTGAGGGTGGGCCTATGGGTCTCAGGCAAAAGCTGGCGCTCTGGGTTGGAAACACAGCCCCTAAAGATGTCCTGACTTTGTCTCAGGAGAGTGCCAAGGAGACACTGCAAGGGGAGGCTTTTCCAGCCCTGTTCGTCCTGTCCTGAGAGCACATTCCCACAGCAGTGCCCGTCACCACCAAGTTATTAATACTCTCTCCCTCTGCTGGACTCCCGGTCATGGATGCCACCAGGCTGGGCAGTGCTGGGCAAGATTAACCCTCTAATTGACCTTCAGTCCAGGCCACAGGCACAGCCGGCTGGATTGATGCACAGCAGTGCCCATCAATTTGTCCAGGCTTCTGGCTCAGAGAGGCTCCTGCCAGCCGCCTGGACTTCTACCTCACTCGGGCATTGAAAACCTCAACACAGCCTGTTCATTCCCTAACACTGGGCCTCTTCCACTGGCTACTGCCCTACAGGCCAAAAGTGCCGCTATAGGAGGGAGAAGGAGTGTGGCTTCAGGCTGGTACGTAGGATGAGGGGTGAGGCTTCTGTGACTGGCTGTGTGGCTGGAGTGACTGGGAGAACTGGGGCTGCTGGGGTGGGAGGATGGAGGTCTGATGGTGAAGGGGCTGGCCCTGAGACTCCAGCCTAGGCATTCTTCAGCTCTGCTGTAGTGTGGCGCAGAGGTGAGCCCCATCGGGAAGCTGTTTCAGGACCTGAGAAAAGAAGCTGGTGATAGGTATCTGGACACAGAGGAAAATTGGCCCACAAAAAAGCTGATAACTTCAGTTTGCTAACCCTTTGGTTATGAGACAGGATATGCCAGTTGCCTGTAAACCCAATCCTACTTGCAATTTGGAGAAGGCAAGAAAGAGTAGAGCAGAGAAGCTAAGGCAGCCTGATGCCTCCCCTCTCGCTGGGCTTGCTGGCATGTCGGCCTTTGCCAGCTGACCTGTCCCCAGGCAGAGGTACTTCTGGTGACTATAGGGACAGGTAGTCTGTAAAGTTCATTTATAGCCACTCCTGGAAGGAGCAAGGCTCCCGCCCCGCACACTTGTATCCCCAGGGCTGGCCCCTCACTAGCCAGGCCTGGCCTCAGTGGATACCAGCCCAGCTCCACAGCCTCATCCCAGCCAAATCACACCTGGGCCTCCTGCTGCTGCACTGGGAAGTCCACGCCCCTTGTCTTTCCCTGGCTCACCTCCCCAAAGAGCTCTAAGGACATGGACGTCACCGTGGCAAGCTGTGGCAAGGAAATAATGGCAATAAATGTTTACATGTATATGGCGCTTGCTGTGGCCACGTTCTAGTGCTTTGTGTAGAGTAACCCATTTAAGCCTTACAACCCATAGTAACCCTGTGAGGCAATTCGTGTTACCAGCCCCGTTTTACTGATGAGGAAACAGGCACAGAGAGGTTAAGTAGCTTCCCTATCTGCACCTGGCTAATATGGGAAGAGCAGAGATTTGAACCCAGGCATGGTAGCCCCAGAGTGTGCTCCCCGGCCACACTGCAGAGGGCTGAGGGTTGTTGTTTATATACTTCAAACTTCAGGAAATTGAGCCACAAGGAGGCCGGGACTTGGCCAAAGTCACCTGTAAGTCACTGGTGGTGCTGGGACAGGTTTTCCTGTCTCCCAGGCCTGGTCTACCCCCTGGCCTGTCTCCCATCCCACTTGATGACATTCAGTTCATGTGCTAGGAGTGGGTGGGCTGGAGAGGGGAGCACATCTCTCTCCCACCTCTGCAGAAACCACTAGAAGGGATCAGGCGGGAGCCCACCTAGAGCAGGGGTTGGTATCGACCTTCCCACAGCCTCCTGGCTGGGGGTGTCACTGAGACCCGAGAGGTGCTGTCATTCCCAGCAGGGAACTGGTTCCTGCTGCAATCTTCCCCTCTGATCTCAGACGTTCTCAGGAGTCCTGGCTGTACCTCCTCAGAGAGCGCAGTGTGAGCAGGGAAGACCCCTGGGCCTTCCGCACAGCCTGTGGCACAGCAGTGCAAACTCCCCTGCCCTGGACCTGGACGGATTGGCAGCGATTGTCTACCAGGTAGCCAGCCTGTGAAAAAAAAACCTGGACTTGGCGGCTGGGGAAACTGAGGCCCTTTCTCTTAAGGGCCAGCCTAGGATGTAGATTAGGTGACATCTGCAGGGCCTCCTGCTCCTGAGCTGTGTAGTCTGCAATTCTGACACAGGTTGGTGGGAAGGGGCAGAAGGAGACAGGAGGAGCAGTGGCATCTGCCCCTGGAGCTTCAGCTGGGGCTGGGCAGGGTAGGTTTCACCGCTGCTCGGGAAGGCCGTCTGTGGCTTCCCCTTGGCACTGATGCTGACCTCAGATTCCCAAGGAAGACTAGGGTTCTTTATCTGTTTCTGCCTTTGTGTGTGGCCTCCAGCTCTGTGGGATTGAGCTGGGGAAGGCTCCTGTTTTTCCCATTCCTCACGGGCAAGTCCCAATTAAATCATTCAAGTTGGCAGGACCTTTCTCACCCCAAACCTTCCTTTTGCCACATGCAGGCACTTCTGCCACAGCGCCCTGGGCCTGTTCTGTTTCCTAAGAGCCTTGGGCAAGGGTCAGAAGCCCAGGGTCTACTCCAGGCACTCCTGGAGCTTGCTGAGGCCTGAGATGAACCGGGGAAGCGCTCTGAGGCTTGGCTTGTGGCCCTCTGCCACAGCCTTGTCGTGATGCTCCGATGACAAAGCGCAGACACTCCTTCGTGGAGTCTTTCTTCCAAGCATTGCCACCACGCGGGGTCTGTCACTGCCTGGGTTATTCTCAGGACCAACTCCCATGAGTCAGCTTGGGTGCAGGATGGCAGGTGAGGCGCCTGCTGCCAAATATCCTTGGCTCTCTTTAGTGCTTTGAAGGGAGACAGTTGTCCTTCTCTCCAGCCCACATCTCCCACATCCCTGCAGCTCAGACCCCTTGCCCAGCATCCTAGGGCTCCTTGGGGGGGCATAGGGGGAGTAAGAATGAGGCAGGGAAGAGGGTGAGATGCCCCTAGCCAGAAGAGCTCAACTTAAAGGTTGCCCATCCCCCTGCCACCACCAGGAAGTGGACAGATGGCCCCAGGTCTCTGTGTCCTCCTGCCCTGTCATTGCATCATGTCCTGAATGAAGTAACGCTGGGCCTCACTCCAGGAGACTCAAGGGCTAATTTCTGCTGATGGGGCACAGCCACCAAACTGGTTGTTAAATGAGGCCCTGGGCTGTCTTTGCCAGTACAGACCCTGCTCCGCAGCCCCACGGGGCCTGAGTGACAGCCAGCCTGTGCTAGCCCGTGAGACACTCCCCAGTCTGAAAAGAGGGTCACTGATAGCAGGGCCGTGAGTCGGTTTGGCTTCCAGAGTGGAGACAGATGACAATACCAGTGATTCTAAGACCCCAAGACCTCACTGATGGCAGGCACAATGACAGATGCCACCCATCAACCTGAGGCGGAGAAGGGCATCATAACTTGTCACAACCCGTCGGCACCGTTTTATTTCCGGAGAGTCTTTGTATGTTGTAAGCACTTTCCACATGCTAAATCTGAGTTCATTAACATTACAGAAGATGCATCTCTTTTAGGACTCACACTCCCATTTTAGGGAAGGTGGCAGACGAAACCACAAATCAAACTTGTAGGGGTTCAAAATAGGAATAGATTAGTCATGGACTATATCTTTTCAAAGCCTGTTGGCTTCTTATATCCGAAAACAGACTGGCTGACTGTGGCCATTGTCAGGGCTGTTCACAACATTCTGTTTTCCCTGTGGGAACATGGTATGATTGCAGCTTTGAAGGTAAGCGTGGCCCACGTGATTTGCTTTCGCCAGCATCATGTGGATGGGTGCCATGTGTTACTTCTGGGCGGCAACTTCAAGAGATATTCCCCCTATTTTCTTTCCCTGGCCATGGTGATCTTGGAAGCACATGCTGAGGTGTGGCCTCTGTCAGCAGGGTCCCTAAGTGACTGTACATACTGGATATATAGCATTATGGAAATAAATCTTCACTCTGTGAAGTCACTGAGATTTGGGGTGGCTTGTTATACAGCAGGACCTAGTTCATCCTGCCTGATGCACTGACTCACAGCCAGGCACCCAGTGTGGAGCTCTTAAGTTTTAAACAACTTCACTTCACCTGGCGCAGTGGTTCACGCCTGTAATCCCAGTGCTATGGGAGGCCAAGGCAGGTGAATCACTTGAAGCCAGGAGTTCGAGACTAGCCTAGCCAACGTGGTGAAACCCTGTCTCTACTAAAAATATTTTTAAAAGTAGCCAGGTGTGGTGGCACGTGCCTGTAATCCCAGCTACTTGGGAGGCTGAGGCAGGGGAATTGCTTGAATCCAGGAGGTAGAGGTTGCTGTGAGCCAAGATCATGCCATTGCTCTCCAGCCTGGGCAACAGAGTGAGACTCCATCTCAAAAAAAAAAAAAAGAAAAGAAAAGAAAAGAAAGCAACTTCACTTGAGTCAGGTACTCAAATCGTTCCTTGCACAAACATATCCTATGTCATTGCCACTCCTAAGGGTCAATTCTGGACTCCTGGCTTTACAGTCACACCTCTGTTTCTCCAGATGAGAATTTTCAGATGGCGACACTGAGGGTCTGAATGGTTGCAGAGTTTTCCTGGGGTCCACAGCGAGCAGGCACTAGTCCTGGGACTCGGCCGTGACGAGTCTTTCTCATTCTAAAGTCGATGCCCATTCTGACCATGTGCAGTCCCCTTGGATGGGGAGTGGCTGCTGAGTTGCTCTGGCTGTCTCTGAGAGTCTCAGAGACCCAGGACCAAGACCCAACTCAGGCTCTTAGAGCCAGGGTGATGTCTGGGGCCCTCTTTATGCCGTTTGTCTCAGTAACCTGTGTCAGGATAGGGAGCCTTTCAGAAGCTGCACCTGGCTGGGCAGCAAGAGCGCACACCCAGGGGCATCCTGCTGCTGGTGGCAGTGCCTAACGAAGTGCTTAGCAGTGTGGATTCTTAGGGCCCTGGGTGAGGGCTGTCACCCGGGGGCCCACCAAGACCTTACCCAAATCCTCACCACCACAGTCTGCAGAGTAGGAAAGTAATCCCCTAGAGGCACGATAATTCTCAAATGTATGTAAATGTGTTGGTAATTAACAAAATACAAATTCATTTAAAGGCATTATTGAATTCCTGGTAGTTTTTGTCATCATCTCTTTTTCTCAATCAACAGATCCTAAGGGTGTAATGAGGATTGCATAGGGACTGGTAGGGAAAAAACTATGTTGACAAATGGGTCCTAGAGAAGAGGTTAGGAGAGGTATTGCTCCTGGCTGAGATCAGGGTGGTTTGAGGGGTCTGAGGAGTCCAGGAGGAGGGGAGATGTTGGCTCAGCCTTGGGGAGCTTGGGGGAGGGCCTGCTTCGGGGAGCGTGTGTACAAGGAGCAATAGGGAAGGGCAAGGACAGGGTGAGAGGCGATGGCTGGAGGGGAGGGTTGTGTGGAGGAGGAGGATGCGGGAGTGCTGGGCTGGCCTTGCCAGTGCTGCAGCACCAGGGCGCCTGCAGAGGCAGCCGGCAATGGAGGGGGACGGAGAGTGAGCCTAGCCTGGCCAACCAGAGGAGATGTTGGCCTGGGCCCTAGCTCAGTGCAGGGAGGTGGTCTCCTGAGATCATCAGGGTGCTGAAGCCTTCGGGACCACGTCCCGATAAATCTTAGCCATGTGGTGGACAGAGGGCTTTCTGGGTAGAAGATAATTAAGAAACAGCTTGTAGCAAAAGAAAACTATAATATAAAATGTGGCAGGCACCAAAGCAGCATGGTTTATGGCCTGCCCTCTCACCTCTGAAGCTCTAACTTACATTTCACAGGCCTCTCGGAGCCAGAGGTTTGGTACAAGTACCATTCAATGTCTTCGCAATGCCCAAGGGAGCATTTTTTAATCTATTAGAGATGAGAGGACCCCAAAACCATTTAAAACCACTTAGGTTGTAATGGGCAGGAGAAATTTGGAGTTTCTCACATGGCTGAGGGGTCGTGCATCATCTGGGGCCATCCAGGTTGGAAGGTACAAGCTTATTTTCCAGGGGGAAAAATGGAGTTTTAAAATCCATTCTAAAAATGACTCAAGGGCTGTAGGATGGTGCGCCCTCCGTCCGTGTGGCTCCCCGGCTCGGTGGGATCAATACCTGGTGCTGGGGGACTTCACACATCACTTTCCCAGCCGTGGCTGAAATATATGGCTTAGGAGAGCATCTGTTTCCCGGGGAAGGCTTGATTTCTAGAATCACAGAACAATACTTCATATTCCTCAGTCATAGAAACTTATTTCGGGGCTGATTTTATCCTTTGAGAGGGTTTTTTTTTCTTCTTTTTTCTTAACATTTAAAATCTCACAATGTTTCTCCAGCTTGAGGACCAAATACGATTTTAATACAGCGATTATTAGTTTAGAAGCCCTTCAGCCACTGACAAATGTACTTAGCAGCACCAACAATGTTCTGATCTTGCTGTCAAGGTGGGAGAAATATGGGGGAAAGATGACTCACGAAGTCGAGTGCCACTGGAAGGGCTGCTCTGGGGAAGGCAGAGGCTGCGAGGGCTTCTCCCTCTTGGTCCCCTAATAGATCCTGACCCCTGGACACGCAGCTCCTCAGTCATGGTTAGCAACTGCTCTGACAGCCCCTCCCAGGCATGCTTTTCTCCTCTGGACTTTGCCTCTTGAAGCTGCACCCAGGATCTTGGATGTTGCCAAACACCCAGACCTGCCTACACATTTCCCAGCCTCCAACACCCTGCCCCACACCTGCCGCCTTCCTCTAAGTAATATGACCAGCCACCACCTGTCTTGTGCAAGAGGCCTATGAGCCACAGATGCAAGGTGTTGCCAGCGGTTAGCATGGCGGTTTTATGGTTGCAAGATGGAACAGCTCTTTAAGGTCAAAACACAATAATGGGACGGAGTGTGTGTGCGTGTGTGTGTTTGCATGTTTATGTGAGTGCGTGTGAATGCTTGTGCGTGTTTGGGAGTGTGTGGCTGAGGGAGAATGCAGGCAAGGTCTTTCCCCAGCAGAGGGCAGCAGCACACACGTTGAGGCTCCAAATGCCTGAGAGGGATTAACAGAAAACTAAAGCCAGCACCCACCTCCTCGCCCAGCGACTGGGGGACACATTCTTGGAACTGCCCTAGGTTTGCCTGGCTTTGCCCAGACCTGTCCCAGAGAGCCCCAACGGCAGCTGAAGTTCTGCCTCCACCAGGCAGGGGGTTTTTGAAAAGCTCAGAAGCCATCATTGAGGTTGGATTCTCCCCATAACGTTCTATAACATCTCCTCTTGCCCTCCCCTTCCGCTGCTTAACCAGGGTCAGGGGCTGAGGGGGAGGGGGTGGGAATGGGTTGGGGGTGGTGGGACACTTGAGAGCCCATCTGAGCAGAGCAGGACGGGATCTCCAGCGATCTCCACCCCATTTGTCCATCCCACCCAGGCTGTGGCACCCTAGTGGGTGGGTGAGCCCTCTCAGCTGCCAGCTGGGCCTCCCAGCCCTGGATGAGTTGCATTAACTAGTATTGAGGTAACTCATTGCAACTGCAGCCTGCGGGCAAGCACGCCCCTCCTGCTCCCGCTCCCACCCCTCACCTCCCCAGCCAGTGCGCAGGCTTCCTTCCCTGAAGGACCTGATGCTCATAAAGTTTATTGCTGTTCCCTGTGGCTGCTGGTGAATAAGATAGCAACCATCAGGGTTTCTGCCTGGGAAGGATTTATTCAGTGCTCTGTGGAGGGCAGGAGAAAGCAGGAGATGCGGCTGTCCAGGGGGTGGGCTTGGCCTGGCCTGTGACCCCCAGAAGCAGCAGGGCGAAGACGGGGAGGGCCCCAGAGGCCACAGGAGCACTGAGGGGCAGGGATGCAGGGAAGTGGCCCAGGAGGGGACAGGAGACCTGGTTCTGCCTCAGGCTCCCTGTGCCTGCCTCTCTGGGCCTCAGCTTCCCTATCTGTACTGAGAGCTGTCTGACCCTGCCATATTCTTACCCTCCTTTGGGACACCCCCCACCCCTTCGATTCAGCAAGGCAAAGTGGTGGGGAAAAATCACCCATGGTGGGTGGTCGGGAGGTTGGCAGAGGCTCTTTCTAATTGAAAGAGATTTAAGAGACCTGCTGACCCAGTGCCTTTTGACTGGATCCTCTTCTAACAAAACACTAACAGACATTTGGGGCCAGCTGGGGAAAGGAGACCGCGGACAGGACGCAGACACTCATGGGTAGTTGCTCATTTGTGAGTGGACAGTGGGTTATGTGAGGACGTACTGAGGGACTTTGTGATGGGGGAGAGGCATGCTGTGATGTCAGAACACTCTAGCTGTAGCGTATTTGATGAAACAAATACGACAAAACTCGGGCCACTGCTGAAATCAGGCGCAGGATGTACAGGTGTTCATGAGATCATTCCCTCTGTTTTTTTCTGTATGCTTGAAGTTTTTCGTAATAAAAGGATAAAAAATAAATGGGTAGCTTTTTAAAAGTGTAGAAGCCTGAGTCCCTCCCCATGGGATCAGAATTTCTGGGGAAGAGGCCTGGCATGGGGGGTTTAAGGCCCCCAGGGACCCCAAGGCCCCCAAGGCAAGCTCAGTTCTCAGGTTCCCTAGGGTGCCTAGAAGAGTCATGGGTGGGGGCCAAGACTCCACCACTGCCCAGGGCATCAGGGACCACTGCTTAGTGGAGACATGCCTCCGACCCCCATAACCCCCATCCCATGGTCTACCGCCACCCTGCACCAGGCCCCAGGCCCCAGGCAGCTGCTGTAGACGTTGACATCATCCAACCTTGTGCCAGCCTCCTGCCCCCTCCCGTGGAAAGCTGGGGCTGCTGGGCTAGGACATGCCGTTCCTGGGCCCAGGGGATGCTGCTGCCCACGTTTCTTGGACACCTGCCTCTGTTAAGGGTTAACGCAGCCCCCTGTACTTGCCCCTCCCCCCAGCTTCCTCTGCAGTCCCAGTCCACCCTGAAGTGAGAGGACTCCAGGCACCCCTGGAAGGGGAGGGGTGGAATTCCCCTGGGAGAAGGGAGAGGGATGAAAGAGGAGCAGATGCCAGAATTCCTATACGCACTGAACTGTCCCAACACTCTACCCCACCCCCGCCACACACAGATGGACAGACCTCCACGAAGACGCTGGCACCTCCATGGGGCAGACTCCTGACCAGCCTGGAATGGAGATGAGACCCCAGGGTATAGACAGGCCCTGTGGACACAAGACCCTCTCTCCCCTCAGTCAGGCCCCGTCAAAGGCTCAGCAAGGCTGGCCCTGCCCGTCCCTGCCCACAAGGTGGCACTCACCAGAGCTTCCTCTGAGATGGTGGGGAGTGTGTGGAAGGCAGGGCCCAGGAATCTTGTCTCTCAGTGCCCACCATGTACAGGCATCAGGCAACAGCCCATCCCAGCGTGGAGCATTCACTGTCCACCAGAGCCCTGGTGCGCGAGGTCTGTCCGGGAGGGCCGGGCTGACGTGGCCTGGGGAGGGAAGGGTCACCTGACCCTCTGGGGAAGGGCTGGTGGGGACTGGCATGTCCAGCTGTCAGCTGGGTGTTCTGCTGCTCTGGGGCAGGGCCAGAGGGACTGGAAGGGAGGGGACAAAGAAGAGGAGAGAGAAGAGGGGAGGAGGAAAGGAGGAGTGGTCTAAGGCAGGGGAGAGTTCAGCTGAGATGCCTGCATGGATGTCAGGACCTGGGCACCAAGGGCCGATCACCGCAAGGCCCTGGTTATTTTTTGATTCCTAATTTGAAAGAAAAGGGGTGAGTCTCGGGTTGGGGGTTCATGCTCTCCCTTCTGCTGGGCTTCTTGCCCCATCCTCTCTGCAGGAACCTCACTGCAGCTTACCCTAAGCTGTGGCTGCTAGAGAGAAGGAAAGTCAGGCGGCAAGACGTTCAGGCAACAGTCAGTTAGACTGAGGACAATCAAGACGTTCAGGCAACAGTCAGTTAGACTGAGGACAATCA